ATATATATATATATATATTAAAATTAGATGTATTATAAAATTATACTATTTTTTTTTTTAAAATATGATCTACTCAATACCTTAAAACTACTGAGAACTAATGGGAATATAGCTTGTGTTGACAAAGCCATGAAATTATACTTATGATATACACATTTTTTTTATGTTATATATATATAAATAAATAAAAAAGGTAATTTAATAGGGAAGAAAAGATGAAAGGAAGGTGAAAGTGTAGGAAATTTCTTGTAGAGGCAATGATTAAGAAGGATTGTGATCCGATCTGTGATTGAGAGGAAAGGAAGTTATGGCGAGCAGGTACTGGGCTGTGTCTCTTCCCGTTCACGACTCCGCTTCTCAACTCTGGAACCAATTGCAGCAGCGAATCTCCACCCATTCCTTCGACACTCCTCTCTACAGAGTCTGTATATATATTAATATTATCAAACAAACTCTCTCTCTCTCTCTCTCTCTCTTTTTCTATTTCCCATTTCTCTCTTACATTCATTCCCGATCTCTCCCTCGCAGTTCAACATCCCCAACCTCCGCGTCGGAACCCTAGATTCTCTCCTCTCTCTCAGCGATGATCTCGCCAAGGTAACTCCCTCTCTCTCTCTCTCTAATTTCGATTTTCCTTCTTCACCTGCTTCCTCTCTTTCAGTCCAACAATTTCGTCGAGGGCGTCTCGCACAAGATCAGGCGCCAGATTGAGGAGCTCGAGAGGCTTTCCGGCACCGACGCCGGCGGCCTCACCGTCGACGGCGTCCCCGTCGATTCCTACTTGACCAGGTTCGCTTTTCCTTCGCCGTTTATAATCTCTCATGTCCGATTTTCTCTGTGTGTTTTTATTTGCGCTCTTTTCATTGGTCCAGGTTTGTTTGGGATGATGCTAAGTACCCGACCATGTCGCCTTTGAAGGAGATCGTCGATGGTATTCACAGTCAAGTGGCAAAGATCGAGGATGATCTCAAGGTTTGTTACATTTAGGTATTTGTAGTTGCAAGTGGTGGTTTTCTGTTTTTTTTTCATTCTTGGCCTTTGTTGTGTTACATCTTTCCTTTACTGTGAGATGTTGCAACTGTTTAGCTTACATTATAGCTAACTGAGGGTTTTGGAGTTTGGTTAGTTATGTTACGTGGTTGCTGGGCTTGTATATATTTGTTAATGGTGTGTAGTAAGTGAGGTGGAGTTGGTAATTCAGTTAGTGTTGACCTTTTTTCTGGTTATTTATTTATTTTTTGGGCTTGGGGGTGGGGGAGGAGGGATGGTACATGCTTAAATTCAGAATTGATGTCGAATTAGAATAATTTTGGATCCTTTAAATTGGAAGGGGTTCAGTTTAGAAGGAAAAGTGAGGGATCTCAAACCATTGATTGATATTTCGATATTTTAAGATTTCTCATTTTTCCTCCCTAGTGAACACCTCACTTTAGATTGGTCGAGTCCAATTTAATCAATTGTATGCTTTGTTTAGGTCAGTAATCAGTATGCTAAAAGTTTGTCGACTTTGATTTGCCTGCTTTAGGGTTCCCTGAACTTTAATTGCAAGTTAAAACACGACATCTGATTAGGCAACCTTTTCTATGACGCCACTATCGAACTGTCAACTGTGGTCAGTTTGGTAGACCGTAGACCTAATGTAACTCAATCTAAGGTTGGTTTTGTAGTCATGCAAGAAAAAAAAAAAGGAAAAAGATAGAACCTGTCAATTCCACGCTTGTGGTGATGGTTTATCGTCATATAAGTGATAAATGATTCACCTTTGTCTCTGTGTTTTATCTTGCAGACACAGATAGATACCCTTTGTTCTCATGCTAACATGTTCCTTGATGACCTCTATTGGAGTTTTTCATTCTTTATATTGAGTGACTTATAGTTAGAGGATCTCAGTTTGTCCAATAACATGGAGAATTTTCATTGATAAATTAATCCTGAAGATAAGGAAGACTGTACTTCTGTTTTTTGGGTTCAATTCTCAAATACCACAGGCCACTTTATCCTGTGGATTTTACATTGGTACTGTTCTGGTCATCATCTGTGATACTAATTTCAGCTTGGTCTCTCACTTTTAAAGGATTTTATTTTAGATCCTAAAGTTACATGACAATTTATTGTGATCCACCTTAGCCATGAATTATGAGAGGCACCACTAAAGTAATTTTCCCTTTCCCATAATTATGAATTTTGTTCTTTTCTGAATAATAAATTAAAGAACAACATCCCTGCTTATTTTGTAAGTTGTAGATTAAATTTTCTGTTTGGCTCTTGAAATTGTCTTTCATGGCAGGTTCGTGTTTCAGAGTATAACAATATCCGCAGTCAACTTAATGCTATCAATCGAAAGCAAACTGGAAGGTAGGTGGATGTTTCTATGAATGATTTAACGTTCAAAAATAGTATATTCTATTTCTTTACTAACCTACTCATCTATTTCAGCTTAGCAGTCCGTGATCTTTCAAACTTGGTAAAACCTGAGGACATTATAACTTCAGATCATTTAACTACCCTCCTTGCAATTGTTTCCAAGTATTCACAGAAGGATTGGCTCTCAAGCTATGAAACGTTGACAAGTTATGTGGTAAGTAATACCATATTCACTCAGATCTGAATTTCTTTTGCTACATCCTTTGGATTATTGTTGATGGATCTTAGTTGCAAAATCCCTGTAATTCATCTCAATAGTTCAATGATGTTTTTCACACTATTGAATAATTCTTCTGAGCATTTTTTACTTGCTTCTTTTCTTTATGCTGATACTGTTTAGGATAAATATTTTAGGTCCCCAGGTCTTCTAAGAAGTTGTTTGAGGATAACGAATATGCTCTTTATACCGTGACACTCTTCAATCGTGATGCGGATAATTTTAGAACTAGTGCACGGGAAAAAGGGTTCCAAGTAAGTATTTTTATTAATATACATATTTATTGTCTTCAATTTGTTAATATTGGTAATATCTGTACTCTCTAAGATTTTTATCCTTCCGCATTTTAATGGAAAGTTGTGGGATGAAGGAATGCATGAGACAGTTAGTGCCAAGTGTTAGTAATTTAGTATCAATTACTGAGTTGATGAAAGGTGGTTGATTGAACTTTATGCCACTGTATTCAGATTCGCGACTTTGAATACAGTCCAGAAACACATGAGAACCGAAAGCAGGAATTAGAAAAACTTATGCAAGATCAGGAAAGATTGAGGACTTCTCTGTTGCAATGGTGCTATACCAGTTATGGAGAGGTATTATTTATGTATTTATTACTTCATTTAATTTGTAGAGACCCCCTAGAATATTATAAGGCAGAATTACAGGTAGTGGTAAAACTGGATTTCTTATACCTTAATGGGTCTGTTTCTGTACTAGCCTATCTGGGACTGCCATTACCGAGTAGTCCTTAGTTTGTTTGTGCTAATTTAGTAGCATTTATTGTCCTTAATTTTTTACTTGTCTCACGTTGTATCACTCACTTTTTCTTGTCTTGTTATCATAAAGTGCCTTGTTCTTGCTCACTACTTTTTACTTCATATTTTTCCAAAGGTTTTCAGTTCCTGGATGCACTTCTGTGCTGTGCGTTTATTTTCTGAGAGCATTCTGAGATATGGTTTGCCACCATCTTTCTTGGTAATATACTCTTATAAAATCAAAGTTCAGTTTAATCACCCCTGCCTCCCTATTTTCAAATACTGATCACTTAGCACTGTGTATTTCAGGCATGTGTTTTAGCTCCTACTGTAAAATCCGAGAAGAAAGTCCGATCCATCCTTGAAGGATTGAGTGATAGCACAAACAGGCAAGTGGTTTATTAATGTCTATGATGTATGGTATAAAATATGGCCCTTGGTCATTTTAAGCACTGCCAAGGCTATTATGCAGAGACACGCAGAAGATGGATTGAAGATCCAATTTTTTCCCTTTTTTTATTTGGGAAGGGGGGGGGGGGGGGGGGGGGGGGGGGGGGGGGGGGGGGGGGGGGGGGGGGGGGGGGGGGGGGGGGGGGGGGGGGGGAGTGGTTAAGATCTACGTCTGGTTTTATTATTTTGGTGCTGTGTTGGATACCTGAGTTTCATGCAACATATTTTTATAATTCTTTAAAAGACTTGAACTCCAAACAGGGGTCATATTTTAACATTTAGGAAAAGAGACTGCATGTTCGGTGCTTTTTTTTTTACTAGTCATCACAAACCTGAATCCTTGACTAATTTAAACTCATTTGAGAGGTCGGTATGCTTTACAACTAGATGAAAGTGGAGTGAAATTTAACAAAAGAAATTTGTTTGTGCTTTGCTTTATACATATACCACTAGTATTTGAGCCTATGCCTTTCGAAGGTTAAATGTTTATATATACAAATAAGTTATATTTAAAATTTGTATAAATATATATTTTTAAACATATAAATTATATTTTATAATATTGTAGCACAAAATTATTTTTAATTATTAATAATTTATCTTTAAAATATTAGAACTTAATTCATAAATAAATATAACAAATTAGAAATTGAATTAGCTAAGAAGTTAAAAGAATCCCAAAACGCTCATGTTCAAGAATAATTCCTAAAAACACTCACATGATTTGCGTTTAATTTATAGAAGTTAGATTCAAAATGACAAATATGGTACTGGACTCTTTGCAGTTTCCAATATCCAGCAGTTTAAAACATTGGAAGTCCTTGATAGTAGATAGTTATTTTAAATTTTAAAACTCTTCTATTCTCTCTTGAAGTTCTCTTAATAAAAAAAAGATTAAGATGGTAGAAAACCAACCTTACGAGTTTCCCTGTTAATTAGATATTTGATCTTTCTAATTATGGGACTAGACTCTAGAGTCGCAATTTCTTTTTCATTGAATGTGAGGAGCCTCTGTGTGGGGCAGGGGAGGAGTGATTTTTGTGAGGGTCAATCGTATGTGTGAAATAAAAGGATTGCATTTTGATCAATATTGGTTTGAATTGTTAAGATTAAAATATCAAGTACTGCGACTTTGAATTAGTCATATGATTTCATTAAAATCATGTGACATGTCTATCATAATGTGACAACTTGAAATCTTTACTATTACGGATATAACAGTCGAGATTCCTTCCTTGTTTATGTGCGTATTCTAATTATGTCTGCTCATAAACTCAATTCAGGTACTTGTGATCCTGTATGATGCTTTAGCAGATCTTGCCTTCCTTTAATATTGTGATTCACTTAAGATAATGTTTAATTTGACTATTTTTACATGCTCATTGCACCTTCAAAAACTTGTGTGCAGTGCATACTGGAAGGCCGAGGATGAAGTAGGTGCTGGGATGGCTGGCCTAGCAGGTGGTGATGCCGATGCTCACCCCTATGTTTCTTTCACTATCAATCTTGTTTGAAAGTTCGTTAAGGTGGCTCCTTTGGGCAGCAATAATGCCAATGCGAACAGGGTTTGGATGGAGATATTGTACATTACGATCATATTTCATTCTTTCTTATTTATCTATATAATTGAAGCAATCAAAGTTTCAGGAGGGTCTAACGAATTCAATATTAAGGGTAGCGTCTGGTGCCAGGATCGACCATTAGCAACTTGTATTGTTTCTTGTTTCTTGTTTGCGATTATGAGAACTTGGAGAGGTGACACTTTTCTCATCCCTTTAGAGAATAATACAGCCCTTAAGAGTGTAATAATAAATTGTTATTCGTATGTAATAAGGTTGTTTAGAGATGTTTTGCTATGCATCTATTTACAGTTACATTATTTAAATATTAAAAAAACATTACATTTTATTTGCGATATCATATGTAATCATTTTTATTTTTATTTATATACATATTTCGTAAAAAAAAATACGTCTTAAACTTAAACAAATCAATTTTGTATTATCCCGTTTTGATGTTTGCAAAATATTTAATTTGTATATACCTGTTTGTGGTGGAATTCGTTTAAGTCCTTTTTATTTGAACTAACACGAATTTATTTCGATTTAGGTATTTTACGGCTAAACTTTCTTAAAGAATGGAGATAGACGAGACAAAGCGACTAGTAAGCATTTGTTTCCAAATTTTCATGAACGATTATCAAACAGTAATTTTCATGTATATAGACACTCAAATGAACAGAATGTACAATAAATATTTTGGCAATACAAATCATTGTCCACTTCACATAATTATCAGGTTACAATATCATGATTTTCGGAATAACAAACTATGAACTACGAACTACACTATAGTATTAAACAAAACTAAACTAATCCTAGAAAAAGAGAGAAAATATGGCCAAGAAGTTATCATACTCAACAATTCTATGCACAGAAGCCATATGCGCAGGCGGTGAGTACTTATGAAAGTGCAAGTATGATTTTTCCGACCCCGGTACACGAGGTCGCTTCTTCTATTTATAAAGTTAATCAAGAGTGGTTAATCTTGTGTGGGTTCAATCGTGGGCGTATAACCGCTGTCCATTATGTAAACTACGTGGCCTGAGCATAACTCCTCGTAACCGCTCCTCTATGCGTTTTTATTTCCTCGACTTTAGTAACCACATTGGTGTAACTACTTAATTGCTAAAAAACCTTCAGTAACTTCCTTTTACATTCTTGAGCAATCCTCGAATATGTATGCTTATATCTTCTGATATTCTTTTTTTGGTAGGTACCTCTTCAATCATCCTTTTCTTCAAGTAATTTCTATAAATATTTTTCGAGTGACCCCAACAATACCATAACTACTCAGCACTCGCTACCATTAGTTGTTGCAGATTTGTTGGTTAACTTGCAGAATATAAGCGTGAAAGTGTGTACAATTCCAATGGTCTATGAAGCCATTTTCACCAATAAATAAAAGGTAAAATACACGCAATTAGTTGTTCAATCTATATACTTCGCTGAGGCTAGTTCGACAAAAACATCTTAAATTTAAATAATATTTTTGTCCTGTAATATATGTTTTTTATAGCCTTTTTAGTTTTCAATTTTATTCCTATGGGGACAAAAATAGAAAACTAAAAATTAGAGACTAAAATAGAAAAAAAAAATTATAGGGACTAAAATTGGAGAGGACTAAGATGAAAATAACCAAAATTATGATGATTAAAATGAAAGCAATCTTATTTAATGGTGGGTTGAGTGGATATTTTAGTTCATTGGGTCAAATGGTAGGTAGGGGAAGCAAAACGGCTAGCTCGGCCCATTTTGACTTGACCTGCCAATGGCCTGTTAAAAATGGGTTGGGTCGGTCTGCCCTGCCATTGAAAAATAGATTGGGAATGTTGGTCCATCCTCCCTAAATACAGGTTAATGGGTCAGCGGGCTAGCCCGCATTATATTAAAAAAAATTGCAAAAAAAATTGTTGACGGGTTGGCGAACTTAACGGGACAAGTTTGGCGGATTGGCGAGTTGGAATGATAAGCCTAGCCCACCAATTTTTTGACAGGTCAACGGGTTGACTCGCAGGCCACGACCCATTTTGCCACCCATAATGGGGCAAGACGAGTCGTCCCACCAATCCGTTGAATTGAATATATTTTATTTAATTTATAACTTATATTGTATATTACTTTGTAGTGTTGTATATTGCAACTGAAATCAGATGAAAATAATGTAAAAATATTTTTTTAATGAGGCTGTCACCAGTATTATTTTGAGGGAAAAAACATTGAAAATCCCTTTTAAAAAAAGGGGGTCTCTGAAATTAGCACCTTACAATGCCCGTTAAAAATAGTATATTAATTTAATTACACAAAATATGTATCTTTACAAATATACATTTTATCCCTAAAAATTATTTTTTATTTTGATTTTTTTAATTTTTATTTTTTTTAAAAAAAATTGTATGTGAAATTGACTTTTTTTTTCAATTTTTTTAAAAACTTGGATAAGAATTTAAGCTACCAAATAGCTAGCCATTAAACTTTAAAATTTGATAACATAAAATTTTCTATTCAAATAATATTATCAATAATTACTATTATTGGTTTTTTGTAAAAAGAACAATTTTTATTTTACCTTATGCATAAAAGTTTGTGATAGTAAAAGATTATTCTATAAATTAATATTGTGAACTATTGCACAAATTAAAATAATTTATATGTGAAATAAATTTCTGTTTATATTTTTAAATTAAGGAAAAAAACTTGCATAATAATTTAAGTTAACAAATGACTAATTATTAAACTCTCATAATGATGTTAAAATAGAATTGTTATTTAATTAACGCTATTAATTTTTTTGTATATTCTTTTTATTATTTTATCAAAATCTAATGACTTCCAAATTTTAGAAATTATATGAATTTAAGCTAACAAATACCTAATCATTAAACTCTTATAGTCAAATAACATCAAAAATAAAATTTTTATTCAAATGATCAAATGACGTTATTGATTATTGTATATGATCATTTTTTTTATAAAAAAAAACACATCATATTTTACTCCAAACACAAAATTCATGATATCAAATAATTATTTCATAAACTTTTATGATTTAAGTAACATTAAAGATATAATTGTTACTCAAATAATGTTACAAATATTATGTATATTAAAAGCATCATTCTTTTGATTAATCTTCAATAATGTAAATGATAAGAATTAGAAAACACAAAGTCACAAACACTCATTTTTCATTTTTCGCAATAAATTGTATTTGTCACTAAAAAAATTAGTAATAACAAAAAATGAAATGAAACTGGGAAGGCCAATATTGCAACATATCTTTCTTAAATTTTCTTTTGATTGAACAAAAGTCAAAGAAACCTTCCAAATCCTAATACAAGTCTAGCATTCAATAGAACATTTAAGTCATGATTACAAAATGAAATGGAAGGGGAAAAAAACTAAAGGATAAAAACCTTGAGAAGCAAAGGAATACAGTTTTGTGAAGGTGTGGTACGATGCACGCCTTGTCTCGTTGGAATCTTGGAAAAGATCAGAATTCAATAGTTGTGATAAAATACAAATTTGTTCAGTGTATTTTCTACAACCAGTGAAGATGTCTCCCTTCTTTTCCTATGTGTTATTTTTATAAGAGAGTTTGTTTGTAATCAATCATCTCTTTCCACTATTTTCACTTCCTTCTTTTTAGCTAATTACCCCTTATCCAATAGCTTCCTTTTTTTAGTTGCTAAGTGAGAATTCTATCCTTTGAAAACGTATCCACATTATCCTCATTTTTATTTTTTTTTAAGATTTCATCTCTCAACCAAATAAAATTGGTTGTTCACATTGTATAATCTTATTATTGAAAGACTATTAGTACTTGTGTTGTAATTCTTAAGAACTATTAGAATTGTCTTGTTCACTATTAGTAATAATTTTAATTAAAAATGTAAAACGTTTAGTAATTTTTAGTTTATTATTTTTGTGTTATAGACTTAAAGTTGAAGGAAATTTTTTTGCTATGGGTCAGTTGATTAAATTTGTCAATTACTATAAAATATATATTTAATTTGTCAATTTGAATTAATTAAAAAAAATATTTTGGCAAGCTTCCAACTAGCCTCTAAGTGGACCAAGATTTTCAACCTGCTTTCATCAAGCAAACTAACCTATCTTACCCCAATTTTGTTGCACCAAAATGGTTAGGCTGACCATTTTGTCGCTCCTAACTATACATTTATTTGACTCAAACTTATAAAATTTTTAAACATTTAAATATTATAAATTTACTAATGCAAAGTAAATAAATAAACCTATAAAGAATGCATCAGTAACAAACAAATGAAATAATAAAAAATTAAATGCACTACTTCATAAAAAGAATACAATAATATAATCACTCAAATTTATTTTTGTCTAATTTTATATTTCTTTTTATGGCTCTCGTATTATACTTTTTTCATATATTGAAGGCGATTCAATCACTTCTATAATGTTTTATGTTTCAAGTTTAATTTTTAAAAAGTTTTTTAGCTTGTCACTAAAAAATAAGGATTTTACTCTATATTGATGCAAATTAAGGTTTAAAATTTATAAATTAAACTTATAAAGTTATAGTTTTAGTCTTCACAAATCTTAGTGTTTTCATTTTACTTCTCCTAAATTTTAAGTTTTTTTTTTTTGGTTTTCCTCGTTAGATTTTACTTTAAATTTTATAGCAAAGATGAAAATGAAAAAAAAAATCAGAAATGAAAGTCAATTGATCCTATAAAAATTTGTGCAAATTGATCTAGGTAGAACTAGAAAATCATGTTCATGTATAATGAGAACATTGATTAATTAATCCAAAAGACATGACAAAGTGCTTATAGTGCTTGAAACATGTTGTCTTTGGAATATTTTCTTACTTAATCCAAATTTGGTGGTATCTTAACTAAAGGGTCTAACTTAGAGAAAAACATGACTCCTTTAAGTTAGTCCTACAAGTCATTTATCCTAAGGAGTTGCCACTCATTCTTAATCATCACTGAGTTAAGTTGTCAGCAGTTAACACAAATGGACATATTATCGTTCTTCTTTTTCCATTAAAAGAATAGGTGCTCCTCAAGAAAAGATATTAGGCTTAATTCATTATTGGACTACCAAACACTCTAATTGGATCTTAGTCTCACAGAGTTGTAAGGATGGCATCCTATAAAATACTATAGATATTAGCTTGATTTTCGGAATCATCTTTATAGAGAACACCACCTCTCTCATAGGGGGTGAGGTGGTAAATATGTCTAAACCTTAAATAAGAAAATGTCTACAATTCAATAAGTAAGAAAATATTTGATTAGTTACATAATAAAATATACAAACTATTGAATTTCTCTCTTTTCACATGGTAGAGAACATTACATTATATTACACA